CCCAGATCCTTTTTGTACTCGGTCTCTATAAATGTAGATTCTTCTTACCACTGGGACATATGACAGGCCTCCTTACAGTTGGTACAACCCAGGTGCATCCTCTTACACTTTGTTGCATTGAATCTTAGTGCATTATTGTGTATGTATAACCAGAATGTTTTAAACTTGAATGTCATCTTTTTCTTACTTGTATACAATATACCCTTTGAGGCAGCATATAATAACTTCACATGTCTCCATAACAACACAGCTAATTGACTGAGGAGATATTGTGCTACTAAACCTAAGATCTTCAAATGTGTTGGTGGTGGCCAAGTAGCACAATGTTACAGATAACTGCTGACTTGTGATACACTCTCGCCTCAGTGTTCTTTTTTACACCAATAAGTTTACCATCTATAATAACTCATCATATGCTGCACCACGTCCAGGTGTAATGACCACGGTCGTGTATGTTAGTTAACGTAAAATCAGACGATTCGTATTACGCTCAATAGCCCACAAAACATGTAGCTATGCCTTCTTTATTGAGTCCCCCGTCTGAGGCGTCCGTTTTCTCATCACTTCAGGACGTCTGAGTCCTCTGTTTTCTCTCAATCTTAGAGTGCACCCGAGACTTCGTTATTCCTTAGTATAAGGACACAGAATTTGAAATTGCAACTGTAGTTGTAAACGTTAAGGCAAATTAGACATGTCTGATTACAGATGAAACATTCAAGATCTTTTGTGGGTGATGTTGAAAGCTTCTACAGTACTCTCTTTATTGTTAGTAAAACTTGTCAAGTCAGTGAGTGTCAAGTCTGTCAGTACGAGTGGCATGCCCTTATATCGTCCTTGGGGATAGCCATGAGTTTCCAATTGCCACTGAAGTTAGATTATTTTGATGCTCAAACATCAGAGAATCTGATGTTTGTAGTTTAGTTTGTGTCAGTTGTCGTTTAAGAAAGTCCTTAATCTCATGAAAAGATTCTATCAAACTCAAAATCTCCAAGACCAAACGGCTCCCCAGGAAGAGTCCCTTGGCTGTGGTTTTGCAGTTTCCGGGAAAGTAAAGTTGTTAGTGTGTGTATTTAATGTCCATTTCACTTTTTCCTGACAAGCTCAATCTCTGATTATATTATAAAAGTAGACATAAGAAATTCACCTGACCCATGACACTGATTTTCATAGTTGAATGTACAGCGATCGAGTTGAATAGAATTTCTGTTGTTGGTGAGATAAGCCTTTCTGGTATGCATGCATAGGCCGGAACTGCCCGAGGCCCGTAAAAACGAATGCACGAGGAAGACTCACACTGTCTGTGTTGTCACCACTACCGAGGTTCGGTAGCCACCTATGGGCAAGATGGTCCTTGAAGGATGTCTTTAATATGGCGAGATTAGAATCTGAAGACAGGAGCACCCAGGGAACACTATGCGAAGATACTTTGCACCGAGTCTACCCCGGGCACTACTAGCGACCGAGCTTCGGCTGTTTGTGTAGTAAACAACTCCCGCGACCAGTGGACTCAGTCTTGTCTGGTTCATTGATCTTGGTTATATGTATTAAGCAGTGTTGGTATCTATGATTGGGGATAATTAGCAGAAATATAGTTATCCCATGTTGAGTATTGACCCATGAATATTGGTATTACCAGTTATAAAGTTTGTTATAGGGGTTGTGAGTCCATCATTCATATGTACTACCAACTGAGTTCTAGTTAAAGCGCCATGTTGTTCATTCCAAAATAACATGATGTGCTAAATAACATCTTAATTTGGGATATTGTCAAGTGTGTCATATTATCATCTGTATTGACAATGAAGTAATATAATGAGTGTGTAATGTTGTAACCAAGAAATGAAGATTTATTTTGCTATGTGTAAAGTAAGACCTAAGTAGTCCAGTCTTACTTTTATCCTCTTCGCCACTGATCGGCTTGTTAGCCGCTTGGGCGATCGGTCACGTCTCTTTTCCTTTATATTCTTCACCAAAAGGTCGGCTCGCTAGCCGCCCGGGCGATCGGTCACGTCTCTGTCACGCACTGTTGGCAAATACTGGGCATGCACCGGCTCTGAATGCACCTGAACCCGCTCCAGTGTTGGTCAAGTCTTCTCTTGAAAGAGCTCACACTCGGTGCCATCACAACACTCTCTGGTAGATTGTTCCAAGAGTTTACAACCCTCACTCCGAAAAAGTTTGCCCTCACGGTTTTCTGGACTTGCGGCTTCTTCAATCTTGAGCTGTGACCCCTTGTGGGGCGAGCGTCCGCCAGCTCCAAGTAAGGACACTCAACTGAGTAGTGCCCCTGAGATGCTTATACACCTCAACTAGGTCCCCCCTTGCCCGTCTGTAGTATAAGCTAGGCAAGTTCAGGCGCTCCAATCTCTCAGGGTAGCTGAGGTGCCGAAGTGCAGGCACCAGTTTGGTGGCCCTCCTTTGAACATTTTCAACCAACTGACAGTCCCTAGCATATCTCGGGGACCAGATGGGGTGACAGTACTCCAGATGGGGAAGCACTTCACTCCTGAAGATCGTCACGAGGGACGGACCGTCTAGATATCTGAACGACCTTCTTATAAGACCCAATAATTTATTTGCCTGATTTACCTTCTTCTCACAATGGCCCGAGAACTTCAGCTCATTGTCAACATACACACCTAGGTCCTTCTCACACACAGTCTCAACTAGTACATTTTCTTCATCCCGTTGGGACATATGGTACGCCTCCTTACCGTTGGTACGCCCCAGGTGCATCCTCTTACACTTCGTGACATTGAATCTCAGCAGCCATTCCTTCGACCATTCCTGGAGCCCACAGAGGTCCTTCTGCAGCTCTACACAGTCCGCTTGGTTCTTAATTTCCCGAAATAACTTGGCGTCATCGGCAAACATTTGTATGGAGGAGTGTACAACGTCAGGCATATCATTTATGAAACAAACAAACAACAGCGGGCCCAATACACTACCCTGCGGTACCCCACTTGTTACAGGTACAGATGACGATTTCGTGCCATTAATCACCACACATTGCTTGCGGTCATGTAGAAAGTCTTCTATCCACGCTAGGACATTTCCCCGAATTCCGTACCCTTCCAGTTTGATTTTCAGCCTTTCGTGGGGTACACTGTCGAAAGCCTTGGCAAAATCTAGGTAAATATTGTCGATATTACCACCCCGTTCTAGAATATGGGTCCAAATATCCAATACCTTGAGCAATTGTGTCAAGCAAGAGCGCCCCGGCATAAAACCGTGTTGGCAATCTTTTACAAGGTTGTTTCGTAGTAGATGTTCCATCGCTGCATCTCTGATAATACTCTCAAGTACTTTACATATTATGCTGGTCAGGCTCACCGGTCTATAGTTGTTCGTGGAGTGACTATCGCCCTTCTTGAAGATAGGACTCACATAAGCCACTTTCCATTCACTGGGGACCATTTGTTCATCCAGGCATTTACAAAACAGAATCTTCAGGGGCTCTGCAAGCTCGTTGCACAGCTCCCTTAGCACTCTTGTACTTAATTAACATCTTGTTCACTCCTTATGTTAATAAATATTGAATTAGCAAACTACAACTATCACCGCTCTATTCATTCTACCCGTTGGTTCTAAGAAAATAACTATTGTAACTCACGTGCCTAGAAGCTCGCTAGCACAGTACCTAACAGTCCAATGAGATATGTTATATTCAAAGAAAAGTCTGGGTGGTGGCAGGCTACCGTGGTAAGTACAATAAGTGTTATAGTAAGAATGACATGGTTTTCTCAGACTGATCCATGGTATAGAATATGGCTAAAGCAGGATATAATTGAGATAAAGTAAGAACATAAAATTCAGAAAAATACAATAATCTATATGACAGAAGGAATAAATATAGAAAAGAATACAGTAAATAAAATAAATATGAAGTATAAAAAAGAAACCTTTACACAAGAAGTTTCTGTAATCTTTTGGTTCACCGACTCTTATATCCTTTAGCAAATTTTCATGGCTATATAGCATTGATATTTTTTCATGTACAGTTGCAGAAATGTGTTCCTACACCCCATGGTAACCCGTGTCTCCAAACAGCAGAGTCACAGTACAGTAGTAGTATCAGTTCACTGTTCATGAATGAATGGGTATTGGTCGTGTAACGATGGATGTGATTGGTGGATAGGTTTGCTATAGGTCATAATTATTATAGGTTGGCCAAATGAAGACACGAGTTACCACAGGGGGTGAAGGAACACATTTCCGCAACTGTACCATTGTTTCATCCACAAACGCATTTTTTTTCTAAACACAAAAACTAATGCAATGACGATATGTATATGCTATATCTGTGTCTGCCATGAGTGTCGGTGTTGTACTGACAGATTTTTGTGCCATAATACAGTATTGAGCCATGTTGGGAGTGTGCATATTGTCCAATAATAATGAGTCACTATATTGTATCAATAATATTGACAGTGTAGGGGTCACTTTTGAGTGAACAGCTACAGCAATATACAATATATTGGTCTACATGGGATTTGCCATGTTATTGATATGTGAATTGTATTGATTTAACACCAAAATAAGGTTTCAAATCAAAGGATCAGCAGGCAACCCCGCCCCCCTTCCCCTGGGGGCCACTTATAGTAAGATATTTGTGGGTGTAAGTTTAAGTGACCATCATGTATAAGATAGGCATTAATATGCTTATCATAATATTAACTCTCCTGGTCAGTGATATAAGTTGTTTCAGGGCCATTGTGATAATGTGGGTTTGCCGACTCCAGATCACCGCACTATCTCAGCAGTACGCATGTCCACGTTGTGAAGGCCAATGATAGCACCTCTCACACCCTGTACTCCTTGATGTCATGGCTGTGTGGGTGTTACAGTGCACTCCTGACTCTTTCACCTCAAGCCATACTTGGGTCTAGATTCGGAGGGCTGACTCAAAATCTTCTGGAGAGTCTCGTTTCAGCAAAATACAGATTAGAGAAGCTTTATTAAACATAAACTACTACCATGTGTTAACAAGTAAATAATACCTTGCATGTATCAAGGATCCCCGGTGTGAGAAGAGAGAACGGCATGTGAGTCTTAAGACAGCGAGGGTCGGGCAGAGTCCGTACCATATCCAAGGATTTTCCTGGTTCTGGAGGTTGAACGTCCAACTTCATGATCCCCGGAAGTTTAAAAATTCGAGAATCAATAACAGAGTCTTCTCTGAAAATACCAATAAAATAGTGACTTCTAGATTTTTTTTCATTCATAACTGTAATGTACCATACAGCACCTGGTCAGGGTGGCCGGGATCAACACCAACACAGACTCTCTCATCATTTATTCTGACACAGCTGTGACTAATGAGCCATGGTACTCCCAGGGATGAGGCAAATACAGGACATCAGTTTCCCTGTGTGACAACAAATATCGTACTTTATATTTCAGTAAATAAAAATGGGAATAAAACATCAGGGAAATTTTTTGTTAAACATTGATAAATATCTTGAGGAGTAATCTCTATTAATGATAAAGGATAGCAGACAATGATACTGGTGCCCATTAATTTCAAAGATCTATTTATACACCTTCAAATATACTTCTTCACCTAGTTGCCATTTTTAGGTAGGTAATACTATACATTAATGTGTAGAAGCTTGTAATATAAACGTGGTTTTAAAGAGCTTGTAAATAATATTCAAGGGTCACAAATCCATTCACTGATGAAGGGGGGAGGGGGGGGGAGTTGCAGTGTCATAATATAACGATTTCCTGTTTACATCTCATTGCGTAACTTCTGTGACCAACAGGAAAAAAAAATACATAAGTTAAAGATGTACAGACAGAGTAAATATACAATCCTTCTTCTTCATACACTTCCACACATGTTTTAAGAACTGAAACCAAGTGATTTTTCAGAGCACACAAACATAATACAGTAATTACTTCATCTCTAACATAAGGAACACGATGATGACAACTAACAGTCTACTCCATCATGCCCCCTCCCTCCCCCCTTAAGGTGAGGCTGTAAACACTCCTGGGAATAATTGGATAGCATGGCGTCGAGTGGTACATATGTGAAGATAGATCATCTTTGTAGCATTCAGCAATGGTCATTATGTATTGTACTTTCTCTTTACTATATCCATACTGCTCAACCAACTGAGAATTAATAAGTGAAGAGGAAGAGGTGGTAGTCGTGTAGGAAGTGCTGCCTCATCTCACTTTCCAATTTATCAAGGAGTGGAGGAAGCATGTTATTGGGCCAGGACTCTAACTCACTGTGTCCTGGGTCTGAGTCCTGGACTGGACACAAGTGAGAAGGATGTTATTCAGTCTGATACTACCAAACATGGCAGGTTTCCCTGACGTACTCTGGTTTTCTCCTATACTAACACAAAGCAATGAAGGTCACAACAAAGTAACAACCAACCGCCTGAACCGCTATTAAGGTAATGTGGTGAAATGATAAATTAATACAACAATACCCCATCCATACCCGGAACTGCACTACAGGACAACCAGTGGTAAGTGTGTAAGCAATGAGAAGCAAGCAAAGTAAAGTAAAGTAAAGTAAAGTAAAGTAAAGTATAGTATAGTATAGTATAGTATAGTATAGTATAGTATAGTATAGTATAGTATAGTATAGTATAGTATAGTATAGTATAGTATAGTATAGTATAGTATAGTATAGTATAGTATAGTATAGCATAGCATAGCATAGCATAGCATAGCATAGCATAGCATAGCATAGCATAGCATAGCATAGCATAGCATAGCATAGCATAGCATAGTATAGTATAGTATAGTATAGTATAGCATAGCATAGCATAGCATAGCATAGCATAGCATAGCATAGCATAGGATAGTATAGTATAGTATAGTATAGTATAGTATAGTATAGTATAGTATAGTATAGTATTGTATAATAGAGTAAAGCATAGTACCCTGTATACTATAGTATAGTATAGTATAGTATAGTATAGTATAGTATAGTATAGTATAGTATTGTATAATAGAGTAAAGCATAGTACCCTGTATACTATAGTATTGTATAGTATAGTATAGTATAGTCTAGTCTAGCACAGCACAGCATAGCATAGCACAGCATGGCACAGTACAGTACAGTATAGCACAGTATAGCATAGTATAGTCTCTCCTCGACTTACGACGGGGGTCCGTCCCGACGACCAAGTCATTAGACGAATTGGTCGTAAGTCGAAAATGCGAAAATAATACATAGAGATTCTAAAAGGGTGTCTCTTTTTCTTCTCAGCACCACGAGAACTCTCACTTTTACACTTGCCAGCCATTTTAAAGGGAATTACAAACGAAAATTTTGTCAGTACACAGCGCGATCACTAACGTCAGTACGTACTAGAAAATACGTAATTTGAAAAATATTTTATACGACCACGGTGGTTGTATGTCCGGGTTGTCACAAGTCGAGGATGTCGTGGAGTACCTGTATAGCATAGCATAGCATAGCATAGCCCAGCATAGCACAGCCCAGCAGAGCACAGTACAAACACAGCCTAGCACAGCACAGTACAGCACAGTATAGCATAGTATAGCACAGCACAGTACAGCGTAGTATAGCACAGCATAGCACAGTATAGCACAGCATAGTATAGTACAGTATAGCACAGCACAGCACAACACAGCATAGCATAGCATAGCATAGCATAGCATAGCATAGTACAGTACAGTGTTATGCCGAGGCATAATTTGATATAATGTTTGTCCCAAGCAACAGATATTTTTGCAGGTTTAGGGAGATTTTCTTGTATATATGAATGTATTACTTATGTAAGATTATTCTAGAATGTATCGCATCATTTTTGTTATGACTTACTTCTTATTTACTTTACTATTATCCTCTTCACCACTGATCGGCTAGCTAGTCGCTTGGGCGATCGGTCACGTCTCTGTTACTTTACTCTTTCTTTTATCCTCTTCACTAAATGATCGGCTCGTTAGTCGCTCGAACGGTCGGTCACGTCTATATATCTGAACGACCTTATTATAAGACCCAATAATTTATTTGCCTGATTTACCTTCTTCTCGCAATGGCCTGAAAACTTCAGTTCATTGTCAACATACACACCTAGGTCCTTCTCACATTCAGTCTCAAATAGTGCAGTTACTTCATCCCGTTGGGACATATGATATGCCTCCTTACCGTTGGTACGCCCCAGGTGCATCCTCTTACACTTCGTGACATTGAATCTCAGCAGGCATTTCTTCGACCATTCTTGGAGCCCACAGAGGTCCTTCTGGAGCTCTTCACAGTCCGCTTGGTTCTTGATTTCCCGAAATAACTTTGCATCATCGGCAAACATTTGTATGGAGAAGTGTACAACGTCAGGCATGTCATTTATGAAACAAACAAACAACAGCGGGCCCAATACACTGCCCCGTCGTACCCCACTTGTGACAGGTACAGATGATGATTTCGTGCCATTAATCACCACACACTGCTTGCAGTCATGTAGAAAGTCTTCTATCCACCCTGGGACATTTCCTCGAATTCTGTACCCTTCCAGTTTGATTTATAGCCTTTCGTGGGGTACACTGTCGATATTACCACCCCGTTCCAGAATATGGGTCCAAATAACCAATACCTTGAGCAATTGTGCTAAGCAGAAAAGCCCCGGTATAAAACCGTGCTGGCAATCCTTTACAAGGTTGTTTCGTAGTAGATGTTCCATCGCGGCATCTCTGATAATACTCTCAAGTACTTTACAAATTATGCTGGTCAGGCTCACCGGTCTATAGTTGTTCATGGAGTGACGATCGCCCTTCTTGAAGATAGGACTCGTATCAGCTACTTTCCATTCTCTGGGGACCTTTTGCTCATCCAGGCACTTACAAAGCCTAGATCAGAGTGGAACATTCTAGAACCTCCCAAGCGTGTTTGGGTGGTGCTATAGGCATCTGACGAGACATATGTAAACACCTGCGAGCGGCAAAGAAGTCTGTCGACCGTTTCTGCTCAGAGTGTAAAGAATAAGCCTAGCAGAACAACTGGAGATAATTGTTGTGCAAATATTGTGGTAATGCTGTGAGCAATATAAAGGTGAAAAGACTAAGGAATTGTACACTGGTAGTGTGCTGATTATATATTAGAAGTGAGAAGTCCAGCTATGAAGACATTACCCTGTGAACAGTGTTGTGAAGAATCATTGTTTATTAAAGAAGACTACAGTGCACAAGTGTGTTTCTGTGACCTGGTGGAAATCTACCTGCTTGTTGTTTGTCTGTACACTGATACCGATTGTTGGGAAATTAGCGGAGACTGGCGGGTCAGCTAGTGGTAATTCGACTACACCTGTGATATATCTACTGCTTCTGTATACAGTATACTCTCGATTTACGCGGATTTTGTTTACGAGTTTGGTCATTTACACGGTGCCTTGCCAGAATGAAATGTTTGAATTATGGGGAAATTTTCATCATTTACGCGGCGAGCGGCTGGAGAGGTCCAGACGCGCAGCGCCATTTTGTATTCATGCGGTCCATACTTGACCATACGCGGGAAGCGGCGCGGGCAGGGTGCGTACAAGGTCGCCCAGTCATCAAAACATTACCGAGTTCTTCGCCCGCCTTCCACCACAGCCGGCCCAAGTCAGTGATAGTGATAGTGAGGATATGGACTTTGAGGTGTTTGACAAAGAGGCCCTGCAAGCCTCTTTGGTGGATAGTGATACAATTGATACAAGTGATACAGGTGAGGGCCAATAATCTGCCCTCTGCCTCGGAACCAATCCCCCATCCCTGTGTGCCCAGATATCTTTTCTACTAACGTGAGTGTTAAAAAACCTAATATTATTAATATTTCTCTTAAATATTAATTGTATGTGCATACCATCATAAAATTAAGATACTATTTTTACTACAACGTACGTATTGTGTCAGAAAAAGTGGAGTTTGGGGGTCGGCCCAGTCTCTATTTCAATTAATCCCATATGTTCTGTTATTTCATTTACGCGTTTCTCGTTTTACGCGGACCTCCACAGGTTCAATCGACCGCGTAAATGGAGATTATACTGTATACGACTCTGGCCGCTGGTAACCAGAGGTGAAAGCTGGTTAAGTGGTGAAAGAAGGGTCGTAATAATAGTAAGGAAAAGTATAATACAGGGGTATAGTATAGCTCTTATTCATCTTTAAAGGATTATAGCTCGTTTACTTTTACTACCTGTCTTGAAGCCTTCTACCTGCAGAAAAATGAGGGAATACCAGGAAAAGGCTTAGTGTGATACTCAATTCGGGAATTGGTTAAGATACACCATTTTACTACAACAGCGTCCAGCCCACTGGTCACTCGCTCAGCCCCCACCAAGTTGCCAGATACAGTGACATTACTTCCTAGGCTGATTATATAAGACAAAACAAAAGTAGAAGGTAACTTACTCAGTGAATGGAAATCGCTTATCAAGTCTACATTTGGCTCCCTCATAGTCAAGGTTGTGGACCAACAACCACACCATCTCCTGGGTCCAAGTCGTACCTATACACAAGACAAACAATGTAACATTTATACACTATATACATACTTGTATAACACTGGTCTACAAAAAAATATTTTTTTTTCTGGCATGAAACCTTTTAACTGTTTTTTACTAACTTTAAGGTGCTGAATCCAAATCTGAACTCAGATTTGCTCCATCACGTAACGTGCCAGAATTTACTGAGCTACCAGAGATTGAGGATATAGACCGGAATTCACCTGTTTCTACTGATGAAGATGAAGAGACTGATCTTTTCAAGCCATCTGGTGAAGATTGTGAAAAGCCAACGTTGTTTACTCAGTCAGAATTGAATGATCTGGTCAGAGATCTAAATTTGCCAAAACAGTCTGCTGAATTGTTAGCTTCCAGGCTTCAAGAGAAACGACTCTTAAAACCTGGCACGAGTGTCTCCTTTTATCGCAACAGAGAAGAGCAACTGCGGAAGTACTTTCATTCATATGACCAGCTTGTTTTTTGTAATGATGTAGAAGGACTTCTTCTCTCCATGGGACTACCAGCATATGATAGTAAGGATTGGAGACTTTTTATTGACAGTTCTAAAAGGAGCTTGAAATGTGTTCTTCTTCATAACGGAAACAAGTATGGTTCAATTCCAATCGGACATTCTGTACAAATTAAAGAAGAGTATGAAAACATTAAGACTGTTCTAGAGAGGTTGCAATACCATGCTCATGAATGGTTAATTTGTGTGGACTTGAAAATGGTAAACTTTCTATTGGGCCAGCAAGGAGGGTACACAAAATACCCGTTTTCTGTGCTACTGGGACAGCAGGGCTACAGCAGACCATTGGGTGAAAAAGAATTGGCCACCAAGACATAGTTTGACGCCTGGTGACAAGAATATCATTAACGATCCTCTGGTTGACAGGAAAAACATTGTCCTTCCTCCTCTGCACATAAAACTTGGTATCATGAAGCAATTCGTCAAGGCTCTTGATCATAGTGGAGAGTGTTTCAGATATATATGCTCAACCTTTCCAAGTCTTAGCGACGAGAAGAAAAAGGCAGGGATTTTTGATGGACCTCAAATAAGAACACTACTCAGAGATCCACACTTCCTTGCAACAATGACTGAGGCACAGGCAAGAACTTGGAATGCTTTCTCTAATGTGGTGCGGAACTTCTTAGGGAACAAGAAAGCGGACAACTATCAAGAAATTGTGGAAGAGCTGCTCTTGAGTTTACAAGCACTTGGATGCAGAATGAGTATCAAGGTTCACTACTTACACAGTCACTTGGACGAGTTTCCAGAAAATCTGGGAGAAGTGAGCGAGGAGCAAGGGGAGCGCTTTCATCAAGACATTAAAGTAATGGAAGAACGTTACCAAGGTCGATGGGACTCGAACATGATGGCGGACTACTGCTGGAGTTTGATGAGAGACATTCCAGAAGCTGTACATAAGAGATCGGCCAAAAAGAGGAAGTTTATGTAACTGTAACTTGATCTTAATACTTGCACTATTTCTACCGTACATTAATTGTTTTTTTTCACCCTTCAATGTTACATTTAAATATTATATGTGCATTAACTTTCCAATTTGATATTAACAATTTTTGGTTATAGAAAAATACAAATTATAATGCTGAAAAAATTTATGTATACATGTTTAAACCGTCAATTTTGATCCAAAAGTTTATGTTTCCCAGCAAAAGTGCAGTATGGTATATCTCAAAAACCTGATGTGATAGACAAAAACCAATGTCATATTTGGATTCTGCACCCCAAATTTACTTAAAATCCGTTTAAAAACCTTGTGCCAGAAAAATTGTGTTGACCGGTGTAATATAAAAGAGAGTACAGTACCGGTATATGTTTCCAAAATATATTTATGCATGACTAAAACAATCTCCACACACACACACACACACACACACACACACACACACACACACGAGAATAATATGGCATAAGTGATTTACATTGAGCAGCACTAGACCTTGGCACCCCTAAAGCAAAGGTCCATGATAGATATGAACATTCAGCTGTACATTAACCACCGGCACTCACCACACTTCGGGTAACTGGCCACAAAGACATCGGTGCTCCTGACGGGAAGGGTGTAGTAGCGATGGGCATAGTCCTGATAGATACCTTGGAAGAAGTACCCCAACGGTTCTACCTTCACAGCCCCAGAGATGTACCCTTTAAAATCTCTCTTGATCTGTTCGTTCTCCTCGTCTGGCAGCGTAACTATCTTGTACGGGAACTCTTCTGCCATGGTGAAGTAGGTTGAAGAGCAGTCAAGGGGGCGAGAGAGAGGTGAAGATGAGCACCCAAGACCAGCACCTGAAAGATTAAAAATTAAACAGAATTACACAAATATGAGGAAAAACAACAATACACAAAAGGTAGATTAATACAGTAGTGCCACCATGGAACTACTTATCTGTTGTAAAATGTGAATACTGTACGACTGAAGAAACAAAGGATCAGTGACCATCATACTGGAACTCTTAAAGTGGGAACATTCATGACAGACTTGAATATCTTAACTCTCGTGATTCTTTGGGTAATGTTTTGCTTCATTTATTATTTCACCACTTGTCATAGTACAAACACACACACTTGGATGGGTTATACACAGGGAAAAAGTAGTGGAGGCAAATGAGCCAGTACAGAACCAGGGGACAGAGGAACACCCCAAACCTTCTCTCGACCTGTCACTCAGGAAGAGGTGCTCACCATGTAAACAATGTCATTCTGTCCACACCCCACAACATACACTGGGTTAGTAAATGAGTTAGTTGCAGAGACTGGAAGGAGCCCAGAGTAACTACCAACATCTGAGTCGTTACCGAGGACTATTTCCGGCTTGAAAGTCATGTACAGGTAGCTACAGTTCCACCTGTTACAGTTGTTGGCACGTTTTGTGAAATTTGTTAGTTCTGAGTTTGTTTACATTCTAGTAAAACTCCCAGAATGGCCCTAAGTAACCTCGGAATAGTGCCCAGACTAAAGATGCAAAATAATCATTCCACCTGTACCAACTTGTTACTTCATCTTTACAAATATACGCTGCTTCTATGGCCTTTCTTATCCCCTACCTAACCATTTCTGCATAATAGGGGCGACTTGCCACTTTGGCAACTGTTGAATTTTTTTTTAAATGCCTAACTAGAGAATTTGAGGCGTTGCGTCTACGTACAGTCCGGGACGAAAGATCTCGCTACAGTCAAAGTGGACGGTGTAAAGTCCGCCCACCCTTACTGGACGACGGGTCCGCTCTCCAGCCATTGCATCCCTCCCTACACACACACACAAACAAGCACCCTCACAGTTCAGCAATCGAGCTCTGATACTTTCATTTTTCAATGAGGACTAGGGAAGGATGTCAATGCTTTGTTAATAAATTTGTGAAACAATTTACCCAATCAAGTTTTACATTATTTGACATCATAGGTTACATCATTATTAGACAATCATGACATAGTGCAGTGTGTGTCTTGGTGGCTGGGGTTCACATCTATATCATAATCCTCCAAGCTGTATTGTCCCTCACAATGGTAGCCAGAAAACTAAGCATGAATGTGAGGAATAATATGGTTCATAAGAGAATGTTTTATCACCCTCCGTGATAATGGTCTTATCATAGTGTCTACTGCATGTAACCTTGGCTTGATCCCTACAATGATTGATATGATGGGAGTATGGCTGACTTATGAGCGACACAATTAATATAAAGTGCATCACAACAAGTACATACATTCTGGAACCATTAAATGTACAGTACTTAGCCAAGTGGCTAACGAGCTGATCAATGGTGAAGTGGATAAAAGTAAAGGGCGAGACAGACAGCATAGTGTGCAAAGTACTAGAGAGCGGGTAGGGTCGTGTTGCGCCTCTGTAACAAAGCGTGTTTGGCACTCGGGCCTTCGTTGTTGAGCGGCAGAAATTGCACAGTTATTTTTATTTATATAAATACAGTATATATTTATTTTTTACGGGCATTAGCCCACGCGGGCACACATCAAGGCCTGGGGGGCGAAAATATAATAAAATAATAATAATAATAATAATGAAGAAGAAGATGATGATGATGATGATGATGATGATGAAATTAATAACAATTTATAAAAATAAATAACAATTATATTAAAAGAAAATAATAAAAATTTATACAAATAATAATAATAATAATAATAATAATAATAATAATAATAATAATAACAATAATAATAATAAACCCATAAAAAATTATATATATATATATATATATATATACTATATATCATATATATATATATATATATATATATATATATATATATATATATATATATATATATATATATATATATATATATATATATATATATATATATATATATATATATATATATATATATACAGTCATGCGCCGTTAACGTCTGACCGAACAACGTCCGATCCATATACATCCGTGCCCCAAAAAAAAAATAAATAAAAAAAATCCCTGACGCCTGCTGGACCACCATTCCACGATCCCCTGATGGAGACACGATGATCCTCCCCATACTGGTCAGATATTATGTGTTAAAGGAATATGCTTCCTTTATTAGGCTTTTTTTAAACATTTGCCTGCAGGTGTAATGTTAACCTACATCTATTGAGGATAAAATCTTTCACCCACAAATTGACAATAACACATTTGCTGTAATCAGACATATCTAGTTGCCTCAACAATTGCAACTCCAGTTGCAATTGGGGTTGCAATTTCAAATTCTGTGTCATTACTACGAAATAAAGAAGTATCTGGTGTACTGCACTCTAAGATTAAGAGAAAACGGACGACTCAGGAGTCCTGAAGTGAGAGAAAATGACTCCTATGACGGGGCACTCAAACAAAGAGACATGGCTACATGTTATGTTGACTACCCACTGTACAGTATTGATGGTATATTTTTCATCACTTTGTAATAAACCTAGTCATTATATATTTAGCGGTTGTACAAACACAAGGTCTCACATATGCCACTCAGACTGACAGACTTGACAAGTTTTACCAACCATAAAGACAGTTGAAGTTTTAAACATCACTCACAATGGATCTTGAATATTCCAACTGTAATCAGTCATATCTAAGTTGCCTCAACAATTGCAACCCCAGTTTCAATTTCAAATTCTGTGTCATTGTTAAGGAATAAATAAGTGTCTGGTATACTGCACTCTAAGATTAAGAGAAAACGGGCGACTCAGGCGTCCTGAAGTGAGAGAAAACGGACTTCTTTGTCGGGGCACTCAAATAAAGAGACATAGCTACATGTTTTGTGGTCTGCCTACTTTACATTATCCTCTTCATCACTTTGTAATAAACCTAGCCATGCCTATGTGTGTTTATGATATTTACCATAACATTATACAGTATATATCTAGTGGGTCTAAATGGTTGTAAAATGGGAAACTTGAGGTTGGGTGCCTGGAACCCCCATTAGAATAAATCCGATAGGTTTATGTAATTTCGGAAAAACCTCCATTTCGGTTAACATCACGTTTCCAAGAATGTATCTAGGACGTTAACCGGCGCATGACTGTGTGTGTGTGTGTGTATATATATATATATATATATATATATATATATATATATATATATATATATATATATATATATATATATATATATATATATATATATATATATATATATATATATATATATATATATATATATATATATATCAAAGTGAGTGTTACCGCAAGCAGCAATGAGTAGGATGACACATAAACAAACATTATGTTAGGCGGTAAGTCATGTCATGTTTATTGGGTGTGGCTGCCCGTATACAGCATATAGTATTGAGATGGTGGAGATGAGAGGCCCAGAGGAGGTTAGAGTGTGTAAGGGGAGCTTGTTTATGTACACAGTGGAGTCTGCATTTACGCGGTCCATTGAACCCGTGGAGGCCCGCGTAAAACGAGAAACGTGTAAGAATAACATCTTAATTTTATGATGGTATGCATGCACAATTAATATTTAAGAGAAATACAGTCGCCAGGTTAATGTCCAATCAAATAATGGGCTCAACTTCCCACGCTCGCTGGCTCCTCCCTCTCTGAGAAATGTTTGGGTGAAAACAGTAGGCTTACATTTTTAGTAATAAATAATACCTCAGACTAAAGTTAGGATAATATAATTGACATTGCTGGATTCCTTGCAAGACCAGGAATATTTTGAATATAAACGTCATATATTTTGCAATAAAGATAAAATTTTTGCTCTTTCTAATCAAAATTCTTACATTAGATCTAAAATTTGTATGTCTAATGCAAATTCCATGATGTTTATATTTAAAATAATCACAATCTTATAAGAATTCCAGCAATGTAAATTATATTCTGGCCGGGTAATTTGTATGAATTTTATGAGCTAAAACAAATATCTTCAGTAAATACAGTAAACAAATTATACTTCAACCGAGTAAATGACCAAATTTACCGGGTAATTGAAGCATTTCATTCTGGCAAGGCACCGCGTAAATGACCAAACGCGCAAACAAAAGCCGTGTAAATGCAGACTCCTCTGTAATCATAATCACCTGACTCAGCCCTCGCCGACCAGCCAGGGTGGGCCAGGAGATTGGGCTGGCATTGTAGCTCCCCAGATCTTAGAAGCAACACCTAACCTGGTTTCTCTCTAGACTTTCAACACGTAAGTTTAACTAGTACTTATTGTGTACACAGGTAGACTGTGTCCATTGCATCATTTATCATTGTGACAATAGTATAGAAATATGGCAAATTAAGTACTCATTATAAGTGTTAAGATTAGACTAATTACATAGCTATGATTGTTATGTAAATATATATTGGATTAAACATTTATGTAAGAGTGCCTATGGATGATTTATTTGAAATACTAAAATGAATTGTATTCAACAGGTTTGATCGAATTATAACGTTCGAGTTTAACGTGACGAGTCTAATTAATCCTTTAACCACCCGGATGGCGGTTATAGTGAGAAATGATATACAGTACAGTATGTGTGTTGTGTTGTCAAAGTAAGAGAAACAATTGAGACCCTGCAATTGTGTGTAAATGAGGCAGAAAGTCAGATCAGCAGCCTGGGACTTGGTCACATATGGCAGCAGGGTCTACCACTAGACAACACATTATGTTTCCAATATCTTCCCAGGCGGGAGTACCTCCCTGTTTAGTAGCTGCCTACTACCTAGGGATTACATAAGATCATCAAGGCCGTCTTAGTGATGTAAAAGTGTAAATCAATGTAGGATTTTTAATGCTAGACGCGATTGTATATTTGAAAACTCAACCTCCACCGATCTGGAGGTACAGCCCAGTCAAGAGACAT